TCTGTAACAAAATTGTCCTCAGAAGTGATTTTATTGATTGATTTACACTGGAATATTGTGTCTCGTGTCTCTGTGGCTGCTGCTGTGGCCTCGGTATTTTGGTCTTCAAGTTTTCGTATTAAACCGCAACACATGATCCTGTTTCACTCTGAGGGAGTCTCTGTCGTGTCTGGTGTCGTGTCGGTGTTTTGTGGGATTTCAGTGGATTTCTCGGGGGCGGGGCTAGTTTTGTCGCTTGAATTTGGGTTTATATCGGCTGTTGGGGTTTGAGACTAGGCCTGTAACGATCACAGGTTTTGCTGGACGATTAATTGACCAAGAATTTATTGCGATAAAAGATAATATTGTCATTTTGAGACAAATTTTGACTAATATAATGGCCATGGAATAAAAATGCAAATACATCCTTTCAAAGATCAATGAACTTTACTTTCTAAAGAACATTTAACACACGAACTGTAAGACAAACAAAAACAACAGGCCGAAATAAAATAGACTTGTTCACACAGGACTAGCCTCATGTAGTCTGATTTACAGCGAGGACTTGTTCACAAAAATGTACTTGAATAAACCATTGCTGAACCAAATACAAACAAAATGGTAAATAAAAATGGATTCTTAAGTCTCAAAATTGTCCTCGTCATTTTGGTAATTTCGTATTAACCCGCAACACATGATCCTGTTTCGCTCTGAGGAAGTCGCTGTTGTGTCTGGTATCGCGTCGGAGTTTTGTGGGATTTCGGGACTTCGGACTCTCGGGAGCTAGACTAGTTGTGTCGCTCGGGTTTGAGACTAGGCCTGTAACGATCACAGGTTTTGCTGTACGATTAACTGACCAAGAATTGATTGCGATAAACGATAATATTGACATTTTGAGACCAATTTTGACTAATATAATGACCATGAAATAAAAAATGCAAATACACCCTTTCAAAGATCAATAAACCTTATATTCTAAAGAACATTTAACACAGGCACTGCAAGACAAACAAAAACAACAGACCTACATAAAACAGACTTGTTAACATAAGAATATCTGGTAACACCTTATAATAACTACACCTTATTTAGCCTTAATAAAGCATGAATAAAGACTTAATTAATAATGAACAAAGACTTAATTAATAATGATTCACGCTTAGTAAATGCTTCATAAAGCATAATTTGTCTTCACTTTAGAAAATCTCTCAAAAAGACTTAACTAACAGATAACAGCTGCCTGAATTATCATTGTATTGCATTATTAGTAAATCATTCTCTCATAGCTTATTAATGATTAATAAATGCTCAAATAGTTAGTCCATGAGCAATTAAGTATGAAATAATTATGAGTAACTATCTACAGCACAGACAAATTAAGTGCAAGGTAGTAATTAATAATGATTCACGCTTAGTAACTACTTAATTAAGTCTTTGTTCATTATTAATTAAGCCTTTGTTCATGCTTTATTAAGGCTAAATAAGGTGTAGTTATTATAAAGTATTACCGAATATCCTAATGTGTCTGGTTTACAGCGAGGACTTGTTCACAAAAATGCACTTGAATAAACCATTGCTGAATCAAACACAACCAAAACAGTAAATAAAAATGGATTATTAAGTCTCAAAATTGTCCTCAAAAGTGATTTTAGTTGTTGATTTACATTGGAATATTGTGGCTTCGTCTCTCTGTGGCGGCATTTTGGTCTTGAAGTTTTCATATTAACTCGCGACACAGGATCCAATTTCGCTCTGAGGGAGTCACTGTTCTGTCTGGTATCATGTCGGAGTTTGGTGGGATTTTGGGATTTCTGACTCTTTGGGTTTATTTCGGCTGTTGGGGTTTGAGACATTTCTTCTCGTCATTTGACGCATGTGGCTGTTGAGAAATGTCACGCTCACCAGTGCTGATTCGGCATCGTGACTTGTTTTGTCACACGGCGATGAACGGTTTTGGTTCTGACGGCGGTGCTCGTGTTGCGGCGCTTTCTGCACTCGCACGCGCATCCGCTGTGCTGATAAACACAGCGCACATCGGTTCAAGCATCATTCCACTTGTTAAACGTGACGAGTCAGAGAGCGATAGAGACCTTTTGACATTCAGTCTCTTTGGAAAACAAACATGCAAATAGAATTTATCGCGTCCGGAAAAGTTATCAAACTCGTTAAATGTTATCGTACGATTAATTGATTTATTTTTTGTTCTTGTAAGTTATTAAATTAAGTATTCTAACTGTACTGCATGTATCAGCGAGTACACCAAGCCCAAATATCACATCAGAGGGCAAAAAATGGTACATTTCAACACTAATTTAAACATTTTAAGGCCAAAAACGACGAGACTCAAAGAAGTTTTTACGGACTGACGACTATTTTTCAATGGAAAGCCAATTGGAGCCAGAGTCGATGGACCCGAAGAGCCCCCATAAATTTATATAAAGTCTATAAGTCAGAGCTGTCACGAGAACAAATTTTGAAGCTGACGATAAATAAATACGATAATAAAGACGATAAATGATGATATTAAAACTAATTTAAGCCACTCAAACAATAATCGTAAAGTAGAATTATCCCCAAGAGAAACGATTCTAAGTGTAAAAAATGGTTAAAAAAACACAAATAAAAAGCAGAATGGAACCTTTTTCTATCTATAATGAGTCATAGAAGTAATTTATTCAACCCTCAACAGCTCAAATTTAATCACAGAACAGGAAAAACAAGTAAAGGTTCCCGAGAAAAAGTACAGACGATAAAAATTAACCCTTAAAAATCATCGTTCCAACTAAAATATATAAAATGATAAGTCTGTATAGTCTTTATCGCGAGACTGTGTTTAAATGTAAGACTACTTCGGTTTTATTTATTTTATTTAATGTTTTTCATCACCGATATCGATATGTGTCTTGCCGCTTTGGCTGATTTCGTTATTAATGTGAGAAAATCTTAAATTTATATCAATATCGGTTTGAAACTCTTTCTGTAGTTCACTCACATGAATGTAAGAAAAAAAAACGCATTACATGTTTTTCTTCGTGTAAGGGTTTCATATAAAAATTTCGTATTTTATGTGTAAAAACGGACAAAATTTTGCATTTTTTTGGACATTCAAAACAAACATGAAAAGATCTAGGTTTAAATTTCTTGCTACAGAGGTGATTTTGGGCTCTTATTTAGTATTTGAGTAAATTAGATCTGCCAAAAAATTCAAATTTCACCTAGTTTTTTTGAGTTAAAACTTGAATAAATCAGACTTTGAATTAAATCCTTTTACGTTTTGTCAAAAATATTGTTAGAAGACGGTAAAGTTTCGTGTAGGTGCCGCTTTAAGGGCTGATCCGTGGGCTGATTACATGATTATTTTTTTTTTATATTTCATCTTAGAATGGATAATTTCGTCGTTTCCACATGAAATCGTGTCCAAACTGACTAAAAACAATGATAAAAAATGAAAATAAGTTGTACCTGTAGTGTCTCACCTTAAGAAATTTAACAACACATTTCAAAAAAACTCAAAAAATTGCGTTGCGTCACAGTAACGTCGGCAAATTAATGTTCTGATTTAGTAAAAATAAAAACTAAATAGTCATAGAGACCGGTTCAGAACAAAACAGTGACGCCAAATATTTTCAATTTCGGAAAAAAATAGGAACTTTAGAACGTCAGGATGTCCAAAAAGTGAATCGTTTTGTTTTACTGTACATGAACATTACAAAATCTGTAAAATATCGCGTCTTTTTGCTTAATTATTTCCACTATCGCATTCAAAAACCTCATTTTGTGCAGCGTGAGTGTGTGATTAATTGTTTTTTTGTGTGTTGAACCTTTGTTATGGTCAAATTGTTAATCTCAGTTTTATTGCGTTACCGAAAATCTGTAAACATACTCTGGAAAATCTGTTCTGTCGCAACACCGAGATAAATATATACCACATTTATGATTTTGTACTAATGTAAAATGCGTAGTAAAATGATGAAATGTTTTAATACACGTTTAAAAACACAACTAGAGCAGCAGCAGCAGCAGCAGCAGCTCTGAGGAAACACAATGAGACGTTCAGGTGCCACAGAAACGCACAAAACGCACAACGACGAGACGCAGGTTATATTAGAAAAGTGTGTGTGCCATAAATAATGTATTCTGTTTAAATAAGGCTCCCGGTCCTGCGGATAAATACTACCTCAGCTATAGACCGCAGTGTAATGACATGTACTCAGAGTGTGTGTGTTGTAGAGTGTGTGTGTATGAGAGTGTGTTGTGTGTACTGAGTGTGCGTCATGTTATTTTGTGTTGACTTTTATGTGAACACTTCGGTCATCTGAAGATGTTTAAATGTGCTGGATAAAAAAATATGAATTGAATTGTGTGTGACTGTGTGCTGTGTGTGTGTGTTGTAGAGTGTGTGTGTGTGTGTGTGTGTATGAGAGTGTGTTGTGTGTACTGAGTGTGTGTCATGTTATTTTGTGTTGACTTTCATGTGAAACATTTTGGTCGTCTGAAGCCGTTTTAAACGCGTTCGATAAAAAATATGAATTGAATTGTGTGTTTGACTATGTGCTCTGTGTGTGTGTGTGTGTGTGTGTGCATGTGTGTGTTGTGGAGTGTGCAACTGTGTAGGAAAGTAAGTTTTGTGTAGTGAGTGTGCGTCATGTTATTTTGTGTTGACTTTTATGTGAGACACTTCGTTCGTCTGAAGCTGTTTTAAATACGTTAGATATAAAATATGAATTGAATTGTGCGTCCTGTGTGTGTGTGTGTGTGTGTGTGTGTGTGTGTGTGTGTGTGTGTGTGTGTGTGTAGCAAAGTATGTTCTATGTATTGAGTGTGCGTCATGTTATTTTGTGTTGACTTTTATGTGAAACACTTCGGTCGTCTGAAGCCGTTTTAAATACGTTAGATAAAAATATGAATTGAATTGTGTGTATGTTCAGTGTGCTGTGTTTGTGTGTGTATGTTGTGTGTTCTGTGTGCGCGTGTACACGAGTCCGACCGTCGCACAACAGCAGCGGGCCGTGCCCTCTCACCTCTCTTGTGGCAGGACTTGAGCAGGTGGTTGCTGGGCTTGTACGGGATCCCGGAGAGTTTGGCTCCGTTGCTGGCGAGGCGGGCGCGCCCCAGGGGACTCCCGTTCTGCTCCAGGCGTGGCAGTTTGGCGGGCGGTCCGCTCGGGGCGCTGGGCCCGTTCTGCTCCAGGCGCGGCAGTTTGGCCGGAGGGGCCCCGGGCAGAGACGGGCCGTTCTCCAGACGCACCATTTTGGACGCCGGGCCCTTGGCCTCTGCCATGCCGCTCACCAGCTCAGAGTTCTCTTTGCCCAGACACGTCTCGCTGAGATGTTCCATCATTCTCAGCTCCTCAGCTTATATCACCTGCACACAAACACAAAAACGCACAACAGTGAGTTTAAAATCACCTGTACACACACACATCAGTGAGTTTAAAATCACCTGTACACACACACATCAGTGAGTTTAAAATCAGCTGCAAACAAACACAAAAACGCACAACAGTGAGTTTAAAATCATCCACACACACACACAAACCAGTGAGTTTAAAATCATCTACACACACACAAACCCAAAGACACACAAGAGTGAGTTCAAAATCATCTGTACACACACACAGATACACGAACTGTGAGTTTAAAATCACCTGTACACACACAAACTGAATTTAAAATCACCTGTACACACACAGTGAGTTTAAAAAGCACCTTTGAGTGTCCAAAAAAACACCACATAAGTCTGATGTATTATTAATATTATTATTAAATTCTCCTGCACACACACAAACAGTGAATTTAAAATCACCTGTACACACACACACACACAAACAGTGAATTTAAAATCACCTGTACACACACACACACACACAAACAGTGAGTCAGCAAACACCTCCTGTCCTCTGGTCTGAGGATCACATGTTACGTTCGAGAGACGTTTTATTGACCTTTATTTAACCCGGAAAATCCCGCTGAGATCGAGAATCTCTTTTTCAGGGGAGTGAACTTTACCGTCTTGTGTTTTTAGAGGAAGAGGAACCCGAATCGTCCAAACTCCACACAGGCAGAAAGGCCCGGCACTGCCCCGGAATCAAACCCACCACCTTAAAACAGCCGCACGTACACACGGCGACGCGCAACAACGCACAACTTTCACTCACTTTTCCCCCCTACACCGCTTTGCGCTCGTTCGTTCTGTGTTTACCTTTCAGGACTGAGTTACGGCGTTATTTCAGATTTATGAGTAATACGGTGGTACCTGCAGGGGAAGGCACGGTGTATCTAATCAGGGAATCAGAAATGAGACAGATGTGTGTTTTGTGCGCCCGTCTGAGCGTGCGCATGAAATAAGTCGAGTAAAAACACACATTTCCAGCCCTAAAAAGTCTTCTGGATTGTCGGGAGCGGTGACGCGGGGAGACTGTCACCTCGGCTCAGTTCGAACAAGTTGGCGGCGGTGACGTTTTCGTGCAGCACTAATGTTCCTATTTTTCAGCGCATGTTTTATGTATGTGCGTCCCACTAGACCTGCGTGCGTGTGTGTGTGTGTGTGTGTGTGCGCTGGGGGGTGGGGGGGGCAAAAAACAAGGCCTAGTTTTAGTTCAAATACATTCATTTGCAGAGAAATTCCACATGAATGAGTCGAGCATACGGGTGAGCTGCTGCACGCCACTGAGGAAACCAGAGGCGCTCGCTCTACAGACTCCACACACTCCGGGTCGTGTGGATGTAGGATTCGTGACGCAGACGATGAGCAGCTCCCCCCAAAAAAAAAAAAAAAAAAAAAAAAAGACGAAAACGCAAGAGACAGGTGCGTCGGGCGAAAAAAAAAAAACGAGAAAGTACAATTTCCCACGGAGCGGCTTGTGGGGTCGGTCGTGGACATCTGCTGACTCACGGGGTCATGAAAAGTTAAAGAGCAAACACAAAAACAAAAGTCAGACCAGAGCATTTCGGGAAATTCAAGCTCGGGGATGGAAAGTTTCATCCGTATCGAGTTCGGTGAAACAGTTTGGATTCTGTGTGTGCAAAGGTTGAAGCGGTGGACCAAGAACGCATTGTCAAAAGAGTGAGATGAGCAAATCCGTCCACCCCCACTCCAAAGATCATAACTCCCCCATTCATAACGCGCAATGAGGCAACTAATTCCGCGAGAATGGAGAGGCACACAGAGCTAGACCCGAGCCGAGACTAGATCCAGGTCAGGGTTTGGAAATGACCTCAAAACACAAACAAAATACTCACTGTTTTTCTTTTTTTTTTTCCTTTTTTTTTTTTTTTTGAGGGGGTGGGGGGGGTAAGTAAGTGGAGTAAGTTTACGGTGGGGAAGACCTATCCACAAACCTGAAACGCCGCCGCACTTCAGCACTGGAGAGCATACAACGCCACCTGCACCGCGTCGTCTCTTCTTCTTCAAGTTTGGCCAGGGTAGAAAACAAAAAAAGGTTCCCAAACAAGCCCCAAAAACAGTAACTCCGGTTGGGCTGGCCGGCTCCTCGCGCTGCCTCTCCCGTTTTTTATTTTTTTACGTGTGCATGGCAGCGGACGGCGGTTCTTCCGTGCGAACGCTTCTTCTTCTTCTTCTTCTTCTTCTTCGCGGTCAGTGGGAACGCACCGCGGACCGTGACATACCGCTCGCTCGTCGCTCGCTGCTGCTCTTCGTACGCCTCTCGCCGCTTGCGTTCACCGCTTCCCCGCGCGGTTAGCTTCCACCGCCGACGCGGGCGCTGCGAGCTCCGCGACCGGCGACATGCACGCGTTACGGAGCGGGGGGAGAGGTTTAGCGGCGACGGCGAGGGAAGCGAAGAGAAAGCGGTGCGGTTAGCAGGCGGAGCAGCGGAAGGGGGTGAAAAGCTCGGCAACCCGTGCGCCGGAGCTGCTCAGGAAAAAAAAAAAAAAAAAAAAAAAAAAAAAAAAAAAACCCGGCCACGGACACCGCACCGAACCGACCCCCGCGTTCCTCCCTCGCCGACGGACCGAACTGCAACGCCGGCGGGCAAAAAAAACCCAAAACAACAACAACAACAACAATAATAAAGACAGCGTGCTTCTCTCGGTGCTAACTCGCGGCGGATGCGGGTTGGCAGGAGGTCGGAGCAGGTTCGACACGTTCAAACAACGGGGCGAAGTGGGGGAAAAGTGGCGTCTACTTTCCGGCGGCGGGGTCCAAGGGAGGCTCGGCGCGGATGTGACCGAGCGGGAGAAGCGGTAGGAGGCGTCCAGGCGGTCGGGGGGTGGAGGTGATAGCGCCCGGTCCGGCGGCAGCAGCTGCTCCTCTCGCTCTCCTGCCTCGCTCCGCGTACACTCCGCTCTGTCCCCATTAAATGATTAGTTGTATTGACTCATCGCTCCCGCCTCTCCGCCGCTCCGTCCGCCGCGCTGCTGCTGCTGCTGCTTCCTCTGCCGCTGCTTCCTCTGCTGCTGCTGCTGCTGCTGCTGCTGCTGCTTCGCTCCGCCGTGCACCAGCCTCTCCTGCCTGCCTGCCTCTCCTGCCCGCCCGCCTGCTCACTCACTACCCCCGGCCGGTCCTCCTCCAGCTCCTAATGGCGTGCTGGTGGTGGGCTAAAGAATTTGGGGGGGAAAATAGAAGAAAGGAGGGGGTATTATGTTTGTGTGGAAGCGGCGCGGCGCGGAAGGGGGAGAGTGTGCCAGAGAGAAAGGCAGTAAAAGCGTCGCGAACACGGGGCTGCTTCCTCCGCATCCCCCCGGCACTTCTGCGGGGCCCCAAAGTCCTGGAGGACACTAATAAAGTGGAGAAAGTGGACGGACTGAGAGAGACTGGGGAACAAGTCACACACTCTGGCACGCACGCGCACGCACGCCACAACACACAACACACACACACGCGCGCACACACCGTGGGAACAGCTGCTGCGAGCCCCGGCCGCGCGCGCCCGGAGGAATTTTTAATCAGCTTGATTAGAGGGATGCGCGCGACCGGCGTTTATGAGTGTGGGGGGGGGGGGCGTGCACGCGCTGCCCCCCCTTCCACTCCACCCCGGGCATCCTGGCATCCTCGTGCACGCGCGCCCACGGTCCTGATGGTGAGAGGCGCGCGCGTGCGGGGGTGCATGTGAGGTGAGGACACGTGGGGTTGGTCTGTAATAGAACACGGACGCGTTATTAGCGCCGATTTCATGAATAACGCGCGATTTTTGAGGTTATACGTTTTTAAAAATCAAATAATTTTACTCATTTTTCTGCGAATAAAAGCACAAACTTTTATTTTTAGGTAATTACAAATGTATTAAAGGTCTTATTGAGTAAAATTGATTCTTGTGAGCTTTAAATTGTGGCAAAGTGTTCTTACGTCGAAAATGTTCGTGTAACATAATACTCCCTACAACTGTACAACAGCTCAAACGATACGCAATATAACTGTACAACAACACGCCCTTATGTCACAGATAATACTCCCTACAACTGTACAACAACTCAATCTTATGTAACAGATAATACTCCCTACAACTGTACAACTCAATCTTATGTCACAGATAATACTCCCTACAACTGTACAACTCAAACTTATGTAGCATATAATAATCCCTACAACTGTAACAATAACTCAGATAATACTCCCTACAACTGTACAACAACTCATCCTCATGTAACATATAATAATCCCTACAACTGTACAACAACACGCCCTTATGTCATAGATAATACTCCCTACAACTGTACAACAACACGCCCTCATGTAACAGATAATACTTTTTAATAATTTTATATTTTATTACTTATTTTTCAATTTTATTTTGACTTGTACATTTACATTTATATAATTTTGTCTTATTTGACATCTGTCTCTTTCTCTTTTTTGTAACTTATTTAGAATTTATTAAGACCATTTATATTTTTTTACTCTTTGTTATTATATTATATTGTGATGTGTGACTCCTGTGTCCAAATATTTTCCCTTGTGGATTAATACAGTTTGTCTAAGTCTAAATAACGTGTGATTTTTGAGGTTATAGATGTTAAAAATATAATAATTTTACTAATTTTTCTGCAAATAGAAACACAAACTTTTATTTTTAGGTAATTGCAGACACATTAAAGGTTTTATATTACGTAAAAATTGATTCTCGTGGGCTTTAAGTCGAGTTACTCATCGAAAACACACCTGGATTTGTGTTTTTGTGTTTCGTTTCATTTACTTTTTCCTTTTTTATTAATCCGTCTGCATTTCCAAACCTCGAAATGCTCCGTTCCACCTTGAACAAGTCGTTTTAAAGTAAACAGCTCCTTCTTTTTTAACCTTTTGTTCCGCAGAAATCGGAAATTCCAGGTTTGAAATGACCCAAATGATTCTGGTGAAGGAGTGTGGAGTTTAAAAACAACAACACAACGGAGCACTTCCTGTTAACACGAGCGAACGAATAAACATTACAACACAAATCAGAAAACAGACCTTGAGGATATATTCCGTTATGAAATGTAGTAATTGTAGTATTTATCGTGCCCGTATAGAAACATGAACTTTGTGCCAGTTTTACTTTTACGTAATTACAGATAATAACTTTCCAAACAATACGAAAGCTTTAAAGTGTTTACACTCAACAATAATTTCTACTATTCTACCCCCATCCTCGTTTATTTACCCCATAATGTACGTCGTCCTATAGAATAAAGAAAACTCGCCGTAATTTATATATTTACGTAAACGTTTTAATCCAGCTAATTAAAACAGCTGCACATTTTTATTTTCCCTGATAGAACAATAAAAGCAAACCTACAGATTTGAATTCACACAGCTTTTTTTGTAACGTATTCCAATTTAAAGCTGCATTGTGTAACTTTTCCGGCGGTCAACTTTCTTCCGATGATGTTTGCGTTTTCGCCCGGAATGTCTCACAGCGCGGCATTAAGCATATCTTATGTTTTTTTTTTAAGTTACGGCGGTGTTTTAGTGTTCAAAAAAAACTTTAAAAATGTAAATGTGTGTTCTTAGTCTGACTTGGTTCGCCTCTCCACAGATCTGACAAGTATCGTTGACGTTCAGATGGATAAGTTTAACGGCGTAAAGCAAAAGCATCGCCGTGGAGTCGGACTTGAGTCACTATTTTTACGACTTGAGACTTGGACTAAGACTTGGGACTCGACTCGGACTTGAAGGCCAATCATTTGGGACCCGACTTGGACTTGAGCACTATGACTTGAGAAGACTTGACGCTTATAAAAAAAAATAAAACATTTTTTTTAGAAAATACTTTTTTTTTACAGTTGATAAATGTGGTGCTGTGATGTGGTGTCCTACAATGTACTACAGTAATACACAGTACTACGCAGTACTACGCAGTAATAGTACAATACAGTATGACAAAATAACTGTTATTTAACACTTTTAAATCTGAATTTTTTCTTAATGATTCACACTAAAAAATTGTCAAGACATTTAAAAAGGAAAAAAAAAGCATTTCTACAATTCTTTTAGAAATAGTCATATATAAATAAAAAACATAAGTACAATTTCGTTTAAAAGTCATATAAATAGCAAAAGTCTAAGCTATAGTCGGTATTTTGTTTTAAACACTTGAAATGACTTGAAGTTCAAAGCAGACGACTTGGACCTGACTTGGATTTTTGGGTCAGCGACTCGAGACTCGACGTGGACTTGGCCTGTATTTGATTTTGACTTGACTTGAATTTGATTCTGACAGTTTTCGGGGACGTCCCAGTTTTTTATTTTGAAAATCTGATCACCGTAGCTTGTCATTTTTCCCCTCGCAGCATTTTAGAAACGACAATACAAACGAAGTCAAATGTTAGCAGCTAAATGTAGCACGTCTCATTTTCTCCACAAAACTTTTGACCGTCTTCTTGTTTACGAAAATGCAAATGGATAAATGTAGCCTGTTAGCATCTCATTTTACAGAAAAAACAAAGAGGAAAACGGTCAAATGTTATGGGGGAACATATGCTAACATGCTACATGCTACTAAACAAGATGACAGTATTTTTATTTTGATTTTTTATATGTATAATCTTGTGTCAGTCACAATCTGAGAGACTTTTTTATGGTCATTTTTGTTTTTTGGCAAAACAAATGTCAATTTTTGCTCCTCTTTACTGTTGGCAGGGATCAGATTAGTCAAAAATTGTGATAGTCCTGGTTTAGTCCTGGTTTAGACCTGATGTAGTCCTGGTTTAGACCTGATGTAGTCCTGGTTTAGACCTGATGTAGTCCTGGTTTAGACATGATGTAGTCTTGGTTTAGTCTTAGTTTAGTCCTGGTTTAGACCTGATGTAGTCCTGGTTTAGTTTTAGATTAGACCTGATCTAGTCCTGGTGTAGTCCTGGTTTAGACCTGATGTAGTCCTGGTTTAGACATGATGTAGTCCAGGTTTAGTTTTAGTTTAGACCTGGTTTAGTCTTGGTTTAGTCCTGATGTAGTCCTGGTTTAGTCTTAGTTTAGTCCTGGTTTAGTCTTAGTTTAGTCCTAGTTTAGTCTTAGCTTAGTCCCGGTTTAGTCCTGATGTAGTCCTGGTTTAGTTTTAGTTTAGTCCTGATGTAGTCCTGGTTTAGTTTTAGTTTAGTCCTGATGTAGTCCTGGTTTAGTTTTAGTTTAGTCCTGATGTAGTCCTGGTTTAGTCTCAGTTTAGTCCTGGTTTAGTCTTAGTTTAGTCCTGTTTTAGATCAAATTAGTCAAAAATAGGAATATTTCTTTTATAAAACTGTGACAAATCAGTGTTTTTTTATAAATCTTTTAGGACACAGGCTCAAAACTGGGCCTGTCCCGGGTCAACAGGGACGTCTTTTCACCGTGAACGTTTTAGTAAACAAGAAAACGGTCAAACGTTCACGGCTAAATGTAGCACGTTAGCGGCTAATTTCCCGTCTCGTTGTTTACTGAAACGCTCGTACGTATAATTTTCCCGTCCGTAACTTTTTCCCGTCTCGTTGTTTTCCCGTAGCGCTCCTCCGGTGGACCACAGCAGGAGACGGAGCATTATTATGTGAGACGGAATCTGTCCAAACAGTAAAAGGCTAATCCGTGTTGACACTGACAACAGGCGCTGGGCTCGGATGAGGTAAGACGAGCTCAGAGACGTGTTTGGAAAGCTCTTAATGTGCTTTGTGTTTTTCTCCGCTCCGTTTATCGTCGTTATTAAACTGCAAATGTGGCGCGGCGGCAATACGGGCCACCGCCGCCGCCGCCGCCGTCGTCCGCGCTCAAACGTCGCGAGAACTACAGCGGTTAAAGGCGCGCTGTGGAACTTTTCTAATCTGTGTGTTGTTCGTTTATTTGTTTTTCAATATAAAACCAAAAATAAGAAAATTAAAAAACTGTTTTCTTCAATATTTGTCTCCAAAACTTTTGCGCCGCATACGGACTGAACCAGG